TTTGTGTAAGTGTAATTGATAGATGTATAGTAGCTTAAATTGTTCAGAAACGTTGAAATAAAGGCGACAGTGCCGTTGAAACGTCCGAGTAATTAATTGCAACAAAGTAAATTAAAGTGAGTTGTCTTGCAAGAAATCTCTTTGTGCTTTAATACCTATAATAGGATTTGTCGCTCCAACCGGAGCTTAAGTCAGAGTCTAGAAACTAAGATCATATTAAAGCAATGCTACTTTTCCTGCTCGTATATATTGTACAGGTTTAGAAATACAATTAAATTTCAAATACATTCTTGATCTTAAATTATGACATGTTTTCGTCTTTCCCGATGACGGTTTCAACTTCATCTCGAAGTGTTATCCAGGGTTATTTTGATCTGTCCGTTACAGCGAATCATGATACTGTAATATTTTCATAAAATTGTGGTACATAGTAAGTTTTAAAAGTAATATATATTTGTTACAATTACAGTACAAAATTTACAATTACAATTTTTTTGGAATATTATATTTTTTCCCGCTGGCAGCTCTACATATACTATATATATAGGTATATGTTATTGTACTTAGGTATGGTTATAATAGATTCAGAGACTACGTGCCTATATAGGTACTGATTATACGTTATCTCTGCGATGGCTAATAACATAAAAGCATTTTAAAAATATATTTCAGTTGTGATAATTTTACGCGTTTAGACCATGTATTTGATGATATTACGTTTTTTAATTCTCGGTTCGCACCAGTTAGGAAATTATATCTGGTATATATACCTAACAATAATTCCTAACTGGTACTGTTACAAATATATTTTAACTATTTTATTACTCATAGAAAAATTGAAAACTGAACTTGACTTATGTATTTCTGATGTTACCTAGCGATACATTCGTCCATAGAATAAGTAAGTACTTTTGACATAAACTAATTTGTAATTGAACTAAAAAATATTACTATTATTTTATTCTATATATACACACATAGTTCATTATAATAATGTAAATGAATGTATGTAAAACAATTTGCAGAGATTAATATTAACATTATTAACATGATTTCTCATTCTCGATTAGCGTTGAACAAAAAATAATCGTGGAATCATAGACCCCTTAATTTGGTACAGAATGGATAATGCAACTCAACTAAATGTAGGTATAATGTTCTCCGCTGTCTGCGCCCATCCGTGTTTCCGCGCTACTCTGCGAGACCCTAAAAAGGGTACGATGCTATATGTAGGCCCAAGGCACAGGCGTATAGCGGAATGTAAAGTAATACGAGAATACCTTAAGTAAAATTTATGGCTTCATTTCCAGATTTATTTATTGAATATTCTATCTAGTGAAATAATGAAATTGGCGGGTTGTTAAAAGTATTTTTTTTCTTTTAATACTTTCATCTATACTATGATTATTGGAATCATATCACGATATGTGAAATGAGTTTGTGTTGTAGGTTTAGGAGCTTATTATATTTATAAATAGAAAATATAATGTTTATTTTTTATTTTAAGATCATTTCTACTATTTATATGATTTTTTTATAGTTTAAGTTAAATTTCTCAATAATTGTTTAAAGTTTAGATACAAGATAGAAATACTTGTTAATATATTTAAAATCAAACACAGTTCTTTTGCTGCTTGTTTATTGGCACCTTTGTTCTCGTCTCCGCTCAATCTCATGGTTCACACCATAACCAATGGGGTCCCGAAGGAACCACAGCGAGCGATAAAAGCGTCATGCATAATGCACAGCCGTCCGAAATCGAAAAATTAAAACTCCGCCATCTGCCGGCCGGTCGGGTAATTACTGAAGGGTTGTTTTGACATGTTCTCGTTGTTGGCCGGGTTATGATCTTTGCTAATTATGCGCATACGGATCACGTATCACCACCCCCGTGATATACGATGGTGTACACACTATGGACACTTCACAGTACACACAGTTTCAATCCAACATAAAATTTTTTGTTTTCATTTGTTGTTTCTTGTCAGTTCTTTTCATTTCGAAAGCATTCCAAAGTGACGGTAGATTTGATATATCATAAGAGTGTAATAGACCTACATGAATAAAAATATTTAATTTGATTGGTTATCGAAATATGTAAATATCTAAATCCGAATATATATAAACATTATTTTTTATTTAGAACTATTCTAATGCTGTTATTTGTACCTAAGTTATCAAATAGCTTCACCTGACCAAAAATTCTTATTTTAATACTCTATTTAATTATTATTTATATATTAGGGCGTTTAAAATTGACTGAGTATGTGGAGGCATTAGGCAAATGGCTTCTATAAAAATTTAACATACCCAAAAATCTGCGTAGTTGCTCTATTGTATCTGGCTTTGGGTATTCAGAAATGATTTTACTCTATCATCTAGTGGTTTTATTTTGCTTTGTTTTTTACCTTTGCTCGAAACGTGATATCTAAAAAAATCTATTTCGGATTTTCCAAAATCACATTTAGATATATTTATTGTCACACCATACTAATCTAAGCGTACCTACTTATTTATTATTTATATATTACTCTCTATTTATCACAAATAATACAGTTATTAAATTTTAAATTGAGTAGATTATAAATAACTAGGTTTTACTCGCAACTTCGTTGGCAAAAAAAATTAAACTTTTTCACCCTTTTTTAGATTACATTTGAGATAACAGATATACTATGTCCTAGTAATACCTTAATATCAAATTTCATTAACCCGTTCAGACGTTTAGTCGTCAAGAGCTAATAAACAGACAGAGAGACGAGACACACTCTCGAAATTATAATACTAGTATGGATTATTAAGTAATTAGTCCGAGTTAGTTCGCACTGGGCTGTATGAAGCACATAATACGACTACACATGATATATAAAATCAGGGGTAATATTGGAGCAGTGGAGCCTTAGATCGCTTCGTGTGTAGCAAAATTGGTTTCCGATTTCTCATAGTGTACTCTCCGAGTCTGTTTTACCCCTACAACCACTGCTCCTATAATTTCTCTCATTTTAGTGTTTTGTGTATGACGTTAAAGATAAGTTAAGAAAGTAGATGAGAAACGAGAGTGTGTTGGGGCCAGCTTTTCACTGTCTACAGTGGTGTGAAGATTTAAATTATTAATTATACCTACCTATTACATTTTTTTATTTGAGAGCGTAACTCAAGTCAAGGCTGGTCTAGACCACGGCCTAGGCTGTATTTTTGATTGACTCTCTAGTGAAGATAATAGCGATATCAAACCCAAAATTAATCCAAAAGTCTGAGTTAGGCTGTACTGCTGCGTTCCAACAAAATATATTGCGTTTACTACTACATGACCTCTACATCAAGACACAATGGACAATAATTGACAATGATTCTGACTAGCTCATCCGTGTCTTGATGACAACTGTCGTAATTTACTCGTATATCTGTAGATAGATCTCAATAGTACTAGATTCAACAAATTGTGCAGTAGCAAAATAACAGCGGCTTGTAGAGTAACAAGTTCAGATATAGTAAATACGTAGCTCTACGGAGAAATATGAAAAGCTTTTGTTCAATTTTAAATCCTATAGCAAATATTTTATATTCATGATGCAAACATTTGTGTATACTTACATAGGAGTTTTCTGAAGGAGATTTGTAGAGTTAAGTGCCTATGCTAGGTAACTTCGTGTCTGGTAGGTATTTACTTATAGTACAGTAATGTAAGACTAGTCTAGAAGAAGTTACTTGCACTAGAATTTCAATATTTAGGTACATATCTCATCAAATTACAAACACAGACGGAGTTTAGATTTATAAGAAACTAAGCTGTTAATATGAAGATATATAGATGAAGCTAATTAGTTAATGGAGTTCTGCATATTTTTGCTATGAATACCTATATGTTTATATGATTCTGTACAATATGTATCAAAATTCAAAAACAAGAAATGGTATAGTTATAGGTACTCTGTTTATAGGTAGGTAGGTACTTGGTTTCTTAAAATGGCTAATAATGTGCTAATTATATATGTAGCGATAAATATCTATAGTTGTAGGTATTTTTCGTGATCAGAAATGCCTTTTTCTTCGTGTTAGCAAAAACGCTACACAATTATTATGCAAATAATGTAGTTAATTACCTATAGGCTTGTGCTTAGATAAATTAAGAGAAACAGTATATATATTCTTGATTTAGTATATGTTTATGACTGAGGGAGTCAAAATTTTCTGGAACTGGAGTAGGCTGAGACATAGGACGAGTGATAAACGAGCTGCCATTTGGTGATGAAGGCTTAACAACTCGACTCTATCACTGAATAGACCTTTATTGATCTATTTATCTAGGTATATTATTTTGTCCTTAATACCCATGAGCATGCAGACAATATAACAACATTAAATATTTTAAAATGTATATTCTCGTTCCTACAATTAAAATTACTGTAGGTATACACTAAATCTAATTGAACGAGATAGAACTTATTATCGATTATCCAGATAAAATGATTCGATCAGTGGAAGTTTTTTCAGCAAACATAGACAACATCAAATACAATCCTGACTAATGAGAGTTCTTCGGAGGGATCTGAAAAACCCAAAGCTCCTTTATCTGGCGAATAATGAAAATTGATATACAAGGGAATTTGGACCCGGACAAAGTCTGTAGATAGGTAATTATCAAGGCACGTGTAACAAAAGCCTTAATTTACCATTCGGAAACTTGTGAATTTGTTCGGTGGTATCGATTGAGGGCATAATTAGGCGAGTGCCAATCGCGTCACCGTCAACCTTTTTGGAGTTAGAAGCGTGAAAAGGTAACAGGCACGAGAAGTGAATGGACCAATTAAATAATTCAGTAATTCGTGAAGCCCGCCGCCGGCGCGCGACGTAAACATGCGTGAGACGGCAGGGTAGGCCTGGGGGCGGGGGTAAGTGGAGGGGCGAGGGCGTGGCCGGTGACGTCACGCCGCGAGCCGCTCAGTCGGTCATCACCCGGCGAACGTGACGGTCGCGGCGGACCGCCGCTAATTCATCCCCGAAAGTACGATACAAGTCGCCAAGATTTTCGACCGGCAGTATCACTCACCCTCCAAGGTGTTGAAGTTGGAGGACGACCCTTGGGGGTCATGTGCCATGTACTCCCCGGACAAGATGAAATCCGGTGGAGGGCTCATGGCTCCGCCTGGCTGCTTTCCAGGCCGGTACAGTCCAACGTACCGCAGCACCGACCCGCGGCGGTGCGTGCCTAACCCATCCGTGAGTACCGTCTTACAATGCTTTCTTATGATGTTACATTACACCCCTTCAAAATACCTACACGATGTTATTCAACATTCCTCCAGTTGCGTCCAATACCTATCTTTATATAGGTATACTAACATACGTTTGATACACAACGGTTTTAAAAAAATTCGGTCAGTATTATTCGTAAAAAATACATTGAATTAAACAAAATAAAAATGTGACTACGTAATTAGGAGGTTCGGAAGACAACAAGAATACATCGAGAGCGGCAGGCAGCGTTGGAGTGGAGTAAACAATAGGTTAGTTAACTAATTGTTTTGTTTTCAGAAACTGTGCTGCATTGCGATTGTTTGTTTACGTATGTTGCTGGCGATTGCTGTGGCGACTTCTTATCGTGGAGCTCCATGAAGATGTTTTGTTTTTTTTTTCCGCGAATTCAACGTTGTTGACGTGCATAATTTTCAGATTTATTAACGCGCGTTTATTAACTGATGGTATTTATTTATCTATTATTATTATTTATATATTTAATATAGGTTTATTCTGAAGTTATAGACTGTCAAAGTTTAAACTTTGGAGGGAAGTTAAACTATAATATCTACATGACGCGGATTAAATATTCGGATTTTTTTTAGATAAATATGATAATTAGATCTGATAATTGAATAATAAATACTATTCTAATAATATTCGAAAAATTATATAATATCAATCTTATCAATAATTTAACTATTCTCTTCAAATACGTTGTGTTTAGACGCGATCTTAAAGTTGGGATGTTGTCGCAGAGAACACTTAAGACTGTAAATTTTTTTATCAAAATATGTTTAGCTGTTTCAGAATATAATACATTTATATTAGCGCGGTCTCACAATAGCTATGAATCGCGGCACAGACCGCATGAATTACCCATATACATATACTGCATAGAAAAATATTAGTAAGGTTGTAAAAAAATTACTGATAAAATCCTTGATCCTTTATTTATCGAGTTTATCAATTACAAACAAAAAAAAAAATTATTGTCTCTATAATATTATTTTAGATACATTTACCAAAATAATCTAGACAATATAATACAGGTAAAATAAAGTATACAAGCTTATACGTACATACAGTATCTAGGATATAGTTATATTAATCCAAAAGAAACTGAAAATATTACATTCGCATCTTAATTTAAAAAATAATAATTTACATCATTTTGTTAATGTAATATAAAAACTCGCAACAAACAATTTTATTCATATTAAAAATTATAGTAAATAAAACATTAAAACGAATAATACTGAGGGGATATACAAAATTTAATGAATAAATAACTTTCGTAAATAAATTCGTCGAAAACAGATCGCCCGATTGAATATAAAAATTTATTATTCCATAATAAATTTTCATAAATCTGTAGTACGATTAATTATATCAATAAATTAAATAAATGCTGATAAAATATTATCTCTGGTGAAAGTATGTACGCCTTTTCACTTACAAATAAATTGATGTGAATTTTATCGATAATATATATTATGCCGACGTGTTTATTACGGTTATATGTTAATTACAATATTTTATTCTATAAATACCGTATTCATTACGAAAAATCATCACGAACATTTCGCATTAAATATTATAAACGGATAGTATTTCCGTTTGCAATTTCATATCGCATAATTTTGGATATTTAAATGAACACGTCGCATTAAAGAAATATTATTACTGAAAAAGGATTATTAAAATTATATAAAAACCATTTAATTGCCGCGGTGTAAGACTGAAACATCGGTTTTATGCTACGCGCCGTAGGCTATAGCGTAGGTATTCCGCGTAGTCAGCAGCGTAGCGGCCGTCGCTACGCGAACTCGTAGTAAAGACAAATAGTTTCATATTATATGAAATAGTTCTAATGAAACAGAGTTGAAAGTTATAATTGAGTTTTATGACATATACTAATATGAGAATATAATATCTAATAGTTCTAATGAAACGGAGTTAAAGCTTTAATAGAATTTTATAATATACATATGATTTAAATTAAATTTTTACTAACCCTTAAATAAATATATTTAAAAGTAAAACTATGCTACGATTTTAATTTTTTGTTCAAATAAACACATTGTTTTATATACTTATATGAAAAATAATAAAACACACTATTCTCTATATTTATAAACTATTGAAATTTATTTTAATATTCTAATTCAATTAATTTGTTATTGTTATTAAATTAGATTTAAATAACTACATATATTGGATATATAATTTCAATAATAGATAATGTCAATATATTTATTTTATTATATAGTTTGATATTATTAAATTTTAAAAATAAATAATTAAATCTGAAAATTATGCAAGGAACTTCACTTGTTTAATAGAGTGTATATTTAAAGGTTTTTCAGATGGCGAAAAAGAATCAAAGAAATCTACGGCGCCGTCGGCAGAAAATATTTTTAACTTTTACTTTGAAGTGACTTCGACTATCAATTAACAGTATTATTGAAACTTCCTAATATATTGTAATTAATATAATTACAATGATTAAAAAATTATGTGATTATTACGACGAATATAGAGATTATGTTGTTTACATTATCACGGAAAACTCAATAGAATGGTTATTAAAATAATATAATGAAAATAGTAATTTTAAAAAATTTGACGAAAAATATATAACATTCCTTTAGATAAATGATAAATTAATACATTGAACATAATTCCATTTTGAAAATATATGAGATTAATATGGCAGTTATCGGTGTGGCCTAATAGTTGTAAGATATTAAAATTATTTAAACGAATACGAATTATTAATATAGTCATTTAGATACACATTTGGTAATAGTATAGCGGTATTTTTCTCCTAGATATAATATAAATACTATTTATAACTCCAACCCGTCCCAAACCCGAAAAGAATTTCGGGTACAGAAATATACGGATTTAATCATTTTTTAAATTAAAAACATAAACTAAAAGATTACAAAAATATATTTTTCCTCTATTTAATAAATGAACAGTAATAAAATTAGTATGGTATAATTATTCTTAGATATATCAGTGTAGGACAGCATTATTTTAAGAAAAAAGCTACACTACTGACGTTTTTAGGTCATAACCTAATATTTTAAACTTTGGTTACAGTTTTAAATTGTTGCCTTAAAATATAAAGGTTTATTCGATGCATGAATATCTTTATATTGATATTTTTCAACGATATATTATTTTATCAGAAATCTTTATTAATTTATATTTAACAGTTAGAAAAGTTAGAAGCGACAAAAAATATTTTATAACCTAACAAGGTAACGTAACGGTTACAACAATATTATAAACTTATGTAATAAGAAATTATTAAGATTTTCCATCCACAAGTAGCCGTAAGACAATCGTTTATTATTCCACTGCTGAACACGGATATCACGAAAGAAGAGATTATCCCCATTAAGTCTAGAACGCCAGCCAGGCGACTCCATACCTATAAGATGTTTTCATTTTTATTTCTCTTGAATTGATTTCTTATGGCCTTTTTCAAGTTTACTCTTAAGATAAGTGAATACTATAATCTGGTTACATGAAGAGTTTGGTGTCATAAACCATTTAACGGACTTGGTAATAATGTTGTGATATTCTTAAATATATTTTAGCCCAGGTATAAGTAAAGAAATATACATAGTAAATCACTTATTCAAGTAAACATACATTGAAACATTTTTGAATAGTTATCACTTATTTTTTATAATCAACCGGTCTTTCGGAATGTTGGCTCATCACAAAAAAAAATGAAAAAGAATCTTGCGTGTTGCTCTTTCAAATAATTTAGTAGTAGTTTTACTTTTTTGAGTTGATAAAAGATATTTGTTATTAGTTTTTTAAAACGTTCATCATCTTAAATTTAATTATTAGCAACATATAGGTAGGTACAAGCATAATTAATAGATCTGTAACTACTGCACACAGATAAAGAGACTAGATTTTTTATGGCTTGAATACTGGAAGATTTAAGTTGCGTCATAAGGTTAGATATGCGGTATTCTATTTTAGAAAAATAATGACTATCTAACATTTCATTATGTTATTTATACTTGTATATCATTAGTAATAGCAATGTTTGTATTTTCAGTCAGATAAGTATGTGTCCAAGCGACGCTATTATGTTTTACATTCTAAGTATAGAGCGGATAAAAATATCTGGCAACTTAAGTACCTATGTTACTGTCATATCTGTCTGTCGGAATGAAATTATTGAAAATCACATTTTACAAGTAACTATGTTGTAGTTACTGTGATTGATTTAATAAATAGTTAGTTAGAGCCGTCTTTAGTCTAAAAGTTTTGAAATAACTTTAATTTCACGATCAATTAAACAGTGAATTCATGAAAGAGAAAACAATTTTATTTTCGCATAGAAAATCTATTAAATATTAAATCGTTACCAGTGCCAATCATCGTATCGAAGTAATGAAATTGAAAATCAAAACTCACATTCTCCGCCGCACAATAAAAAAAACTTGCGATAAACCTTCAAACTGTATTTATTCAACCACGGAGTGCCGGTAATGCGAAATAATACAACAACATTGAGTAAATCACATTATTCTCCAACAAAAAACTGGAATTTAATGTGCAGTACGCGTATTACTGAAGTATTAACGCAATATTAATGAAATGTGTTACGTTAAATATAAATTGTATTAAATGCCAACGGAGTAAATATTAATTTTAAATGCGGTGTAGTAATCCGTTTTGGAGGTTTACATTTAACGAGGAATTTATAGTACCTAGTTCTAGTTTTATGTTACGGGAAAATCTAGCAACAATTCTATCGATTTATAATAAAAACTATATCTACGATATAAATAAATGTCGCTGAAATATTCTTCTGAAATGTTCTGTAATATAATATTTCTACGATTCCATAACACAAATAATCTCACTCATTCTATTATATGTTGCAAAGTAGCTACATTTTACACTTGAAGTTATTCAGAATTATTTAGAGACTCAGTACCAAT